GTTAGCTAGTTGCTACATTTAGCTTTAAGTTAGCCTTTGTTACTCTTAGCTTTTTAGCTACTGTGGTTTGACTTTTAACTAGCTTTTCACTACTTTTGTCTGCATTTACCTACTTGCAGCTTAAAGCTAGTCTTTGTTAGCTTTTAGCTGCTGTGGTATTACATTTAACAAACTTTTCACTACTTTAGACTGCAGTTTGCTAGTTGCTACTTTTAGCTTTAAGTTAGCCTTTGTTACTCTTAGCTTTTTAGCTACTGTGATATTGCTTTTAACTAGCTTTTCACTAATTTTGCTTGCAATACTTGTAGCTTTAAGTTGGAGTTTGTTACAGTTAGCTTTTAGCTGCTGTGGTATTATTTTTAGCTAGCTTTTCACTACCTTAGCCTGCAGTTAGCTAATTGCAACTTGTACCTTTTAAGTTAGCTTTTGTTGCTCCTTTTTAGCAACTGTAGGATTATTTTTGCCTAGCTTTTCACTACTTTAGACCTCATATAGCTAACTGCTACTTGCGGTAGCTTTTGTTACATTCAGCTTTAAGCTAGCCTTTTACTTCTTTTATTTTCTTACTAGAATTTTTATATGTTTATCCAGCCTTTTGCCTGTTTAGCTAGCCTATTGTTATTATTTGCTGTTAGCTATCTCTCTTTAGCTTTTGGCTAGCCTTCTGTTACTTTTAGGTTCTGTTCTGCTATTTTATGCTTTAAATAAGCTGCCAACAAGTCTAATCTGTGTAAATACTGCAGGTTTGTATGTTCCTAAACGTTTCGATCCAGGCTTCCAGTGTTTTTAAATGTTTTTTTTAATCCTCGCCCTGCATAAAAGTGCATTTAAAACCCACTGAATCTCAGCAGCTTTGCTGATTAAATGCATTTAAACGCTCAGAGTTTAATCTTCTTTATTTGGTTCCAGAGTGACCGTCTCTTGATCAAAGGAGCGAAGATCGTGAACGATGATCAGTCCTTCTGCGCCGACATCTACATCGAGGATGGAGTCATCAAGTGAGTTTACCAGCTTTTTGTCAGCTGTTTTTTAAATTTAATTAAATTAAATTTTTATTTTAGTGTTATTTAAACGTTTTTCTTCCTCCTCAGGCAAATCGGGGAAAACCTCATTGTTCCCGGCGGGGTGAAAACCATCGACGCACACGGTCGCATGTTGATGCCGGGCGGGATCGACGTGCACACGCGTTTCCAGATGCCCCACATGGGAATGACGTCCGCCGACGACTTCTACCAGGGGTCCAAGGCGGCGCTGGCGGGCGGRACCACCATGTTCAGTGAGTTCAGTTTGTTTGATGCTTCAGACTTCTGTGTTTCTGTTTTATATTTCGACGTGTTTAAGATTTATTTTCAGATTTTAGGCTCTCTGTTACCACAAACTTCAAACTAATACAAACACTTAATATTTATTTAATTGAATGCATGAAAAAATAACAGTTTCAGACAGGAAATGTAGTTTTAGCTTCAAGAAGGTGATTCTCAAAGAGCTGTTAGCTAAAATAAGCTGAAGAATGATGCRCAAAAGACATGACTTTTAGGTACTCTACATCTGCAAATAGTTATTTTAGGCTTTATTTGTCCTTTTATAGATATTTTTATAAGCTACACTAAAAACTTGAAAGGAATCCTAGAAAATGTGGTGATTTCAGAATAAAAAAACAGGTAAATTAAAGAAAAACAAAGCAGCTAGCTGTAAATTCTGTCTGTAAGCGTCRCACTGGGCCTCCCTGTGCTGAATCAGCAGCTGAAGTGTCCTCACCCTCTCCATGGCAGCGTAAACAAACCCTCCCTGCACGCTGGTGTCGCCTCAGGCTGACGGCTGTTCCATGTGGTCCGATGAGCCTGAGCCAGTATTGTTATATAACAAGAWTTATTGCCTAAAAGACGAACAGAATAGATTTTTTTTTTGGTAATTACACATGCAGACACAWATACTTTATAAATACTCAATAAACTGCAGAACATATTTATTTCAAGGGTGTTCATTTACGGTTACAGCGTATTCATTTATTTAAAAAGTACCTTCCTTTTTTGGTTTGCAGTYGACCACGTGCTGCCGGAGCCCGGCGTCAGCCTCCTGTCGGCCGTTGAGCAGTGGCGCGAGTGGGCCGACGGCAAGTCCTGCTGCGACTACTCGCTGCACGTGGACATCACCGAGTGGCACCGGGGCATCCAGGAGGAGATGGAGACGCTGGTGAAGGACCACGGTACGACCTYGGGCGGAGTGCTGAAATAATAAACAAAGAAGAGTTAGGAATAAAAATCAAATTTAACATAACGTTGCAATGAAATTATTTGATTCTTACAGCCTATCTGATAAAAACAAAAAGTGACTGCTCTGATTGGTCAGCTGAACAGATCTAAACAGACTCCGCCTACTTTCTCGCTTTAGTGTTCGATTATAAACTCATAAAAGTGACATTTATTATCTAAAATAACAGTTGTAAGCACGAAAATAAAATCTCAAGTCATTAAAAAACATTTTTTAAAGATTCGGGTTAAATATTGACATCAGGGGCGGAGCTAGACATTTTTTTTAGAAAGGGGTGACAAGGGTGGCCAAGGTGGTTTTTAGGGAAGCCCATGCAAATAAGGAAAAGCACTCTGGATTTGAAAATTCAAGATGGCCGCCACTACAAATGGATTTAGCTCAGCTGTTTTWARRAAWKST